AGAAATAGAGATGTTTTTGATTAGTTTCACAATGAAAAAGGACCTTGAAATTGAGCTCAAATTAGTGGAAATGTTCGATTTTTGTCGATGTTCAAGAGTAAACAAATCACGTCACGCGTTCAATACACATCAATTGGTGAGTCTTATTCTTTCACATGTGCACTGATATTATTTATAGCATTTTTACAATAATTCAGTAATCTGCATAACAGTAAATCTTCTAATTTTTGTGTGAATAAAAATTCAAAATAGAAAGCAAGAGTAATATAAGTGGGGCCTAGAGACGTGACTGATGAACAGAGAAACTGTTATTTTAGTGCCAGGAATATCTGTATTGTTTATTCTGAACCCTATTTTGAAATTGGCACCTTTGTTAATTTGCGTATAATTGGCCAAATTGCCAATTTCTGATCACTTTATTGGGTAGTTAAAATCGGTAAATGGACGGTTTCTTGTACTCAATTGCTAGAACATATGGAGTTCTAAAGAAATAGCTATGAGCTTGGTCAATTGAAATAATGGAATTGACAGAAAATAGGGCTCAAATTCGGCGAAATCGCCGATGCGTATGTATCGCCAAGATCGCTGACTTTGCGAGAGCATCATTCCCTAAGTTTTCCATCAAATTTCTTACTTTTGATGTCGTTGCCATCGGGAAAAGATTCTCTATCATTTCATAAGAAAACAAACATTTTTTTTTTTTTTTCGAATATTTTGTGATACAGGGAGCCAGTTTCAGAATTGGGGTTGCGAGAGCCAAAGGGTTAAAATATAGGTCAGTGTGAACAGTAGTGGCATCAGTGACTTTGATTTGTGTGGGGGACAGTGAAAGGGTTAGACATTGATAGTAAAAAATACGAGCTGTGTGAAGAACTCGAGTTTTTTTCATAATTCATAATCTGTGTATATTAAAAATGTATTATTAGAGAATTGTTATCCTTGGATTATTTTTAAATTGTATATTATTAGACATTAACTCTTTGACTGTCGCAACCCCCAATCCTGAGGTGTCTCCTGGTGTCGCAAATATTTGAAAAAAAAAAAATTCTCATGAAATGATAGAGAATCTTTTCGCAATGGCAATGACCCCAAAAGTACGAAATTTGATGGAAAACTTGCGGAATTACGCTCTCGCGAAGTTAGCGACTTCGGCGATATTTACGAATTGGCGATTTCGCCCACTTTGAGCCCAATTGTCGGCTGATTCCATTGTTCCAGTGAACCAAACTCATAGCTATTTCTTCAGAATTCCATTTGTTCTATCTATTTAGTACAAGAAACTGCCCATTTACATATTTCAACTACCCAATAAAGTGGTCAGAAATTGGCAATTTGGCCAATTTCACGCAAATTAAAAAATATGCCATTTCAAAATGGGGTTCAGAATGAACAATGCAGATATTCCTGGCTCTAAAATAATATTTTCTTTGTTTATCAGTCACATCTCCAGGCCCCTCTTATATTACTCTTGCTTTCTATTTTGTATTTTTATGCAAACAAAAAATAGAAGATTTACTGTTATGCAGACTTCTGCAATATTGTAATAATTGTATAAATAATGTCAACCCATTCATGACTGCATGTTAGAATGGCTAGTTGGACATTTATTGGGCAAAGACATCATTTGTTTACTCTTGAACATCTGCCAAAATCAAACATTTCCCCTAGTTTGAGCTCCAGTTCAAGGTCCTGTTCATAGTAAAACCAATCCAAATCTTCTCAGTTTCTGTAATGTGTTTTCCATTCTATCAAACGAGACCAAGAAATCGAGAATACTTATATGAAAATACACCTCAAATTCGGCGCTTTAATCCAAAAAGACATTCGGAATTTTTTTTTCTCATTATGCACTGCGTGCTGCAGGATTTTATTTATACAGTGCACACTGACCACATAGACCCATTGTCTCAGATGTGGGCCTACCAGCTCTCTCCCGCTTGATTTGAAGCTGCTAGAATTTTTGAGTATATATACATCAAACACATTGGCTCGCAAGACATATATATATGACCGAAACAGTCAAAGAGTTAAAATGTGTAAATTGTTGCAAGAATTTTTTTTTTAACCAAATAATGTATACAGTGCTGTGTTAAACATTACGGTTTGCATTTTTTAATTAATATATTTACTACCAACAAATTTGTGTTGACGTGCCTGTGGAAATGCATTTGAATACAAATTTGTTTTGTCTTGACTGTCATGTGTAATGGATTATCAAGATTAACTGTCAAGAAAAGTTTGATTTACAGAGGAAAATGTGTGCATTTTTGCAGTTTTATCAAAAAGGGCTTTGCAGATAACCTGATACATCTTTTAATTAAAACTACAGATAAGAAAATTGTGATAAATGTACCTGAGCTCTTAGGTTAAGGAGATCATTGAGATAGCTAAATATCTTGCTGATGTTGGTATTATGGTATTTCTATTCACACTTTGGTTTTCACTTTTTTTTTTATATGCATAAATCTTCAATATATGCCAATTACATTAATTTTCACAGGTATCCGTTACTCTTTGGATGTATGTGCTGATGAGGTCAAAGCCCTATCTGCCTTGATGACATTCAAATGCTCCTGTGTGGATGTACCCTTTGGAGGAGCTAAGGCTGGCCTTAAGATTGACCCTCGTGAATATTCTATAAATGAACTGGAGAAGATCACTCGTCGCTTCACCCTAGAATTGGCCAAAAAGGGCTTCATTGGTCAGTCTGAGACACTTTGGTTAAAATGTATTGGAATAAAAGTTTATGGGTCAATGGGTTCCATAATCTACATTTTATACAGTGAAATATAATGAAAGTCAGAAATTGTTAAAAAGAAATTCCACTTAGAATATTCCATATTATGTAACTTATAGCTAGTAAAGTTTTTAAGAAACATATTTAAATTTGCCCTAGGTAGTAGGTTGGTAGACAGCAACCGCCCAGGAAGGTTCTACCGTTCTGCCACGTGAGTGTAAGACGGAAGCCTGTAATTGTTTTACATGATGGTAGAATTGCAGGTGTTTTTTTTTTTCTGTCTTCTAAACATGCAAAATTTCAGGATGTTCCAGAGAGGGGACACAGAAACAAGGGGTCACAATTGAAAGTTGAAGACTCAGATGAGTCAAAGGGATGTTAGGAAGTATTTCTTTAGTCATAGAGTTGTCCAGAAGTGGAATAGTCTAGCAAGTTATGTAGTGGAGGCAGGAACCATACATAGCTTTAAGACGGGGTATGGTAAAGCTCATGGAGCAGGGAGAGAGGACCTAGTAGCGATCAGTGAAGAGGCGGGGCCAGGAGCTGAGTCTCGACCCCAGCAACCACAATTAGGTGAGTACATGCATATATAGGTCGGCCATCACAAATCCGGCAATCAGTCATCTGGCTCCATCAGTTATTCGAGACTAATTTTGGCTAGCATAATTTTAAATTTCCAGGGTCGCCACACCAATCTGCTTGTACTGTTTGGTGGCTCTACTTGCTGCATAAATCATTCCAATTTCTTTTTCTCCATTTATTGTTTTAGCCTGCTTACTTTTAGCCCTGTCCAACGAATAAAAGAAATGCTTCTCATTGTGTGTAAAGCACATACTCGGTACATTATCCATAAAAGATAAGGTGGCTTTGTAGCCACTGTCGGTTGCCATGAGCTCAGTTAATATCAACACTACGGCTTATATATCTATCACAAGTGATCTAATATGATATAATGAACAATATAAATGACATAAAAACATGGTAAATACTCCAGAATGAATAATATTTGGCATAATACCGAGTGGTTCGACGGAGGTATGAAGAGGATATGGGATACAAGTACTATCCTCTTATTCCTGTCTTGGGGGCTTATATTAGAAAACAGAGTGTAGCACAGGGCTAACTGTGATATAATTTTGTAATGCACTATAAAACTGAAACAAAAAAGCTATTTTCTCTACATAGATTATCATACATAGAAGCATATGTGTAGAGAACATAGGATAACCCAAAAAAGTCAAAGTGACTTATTTTCATATGTGATTTTTGGTAAATATTTTCTTTTCTCAGTTGTTTGTTGGGCTATCTTATTGAAACTTGTGCAGTGTATGATGGAAAGATGCTTCTTAATGTACACCAAAAATAAAAAAAATGGATAAAAAATGGAGCTCACTTCTCAGCCATTAGCTGCCCCTTAGCAGTATATTTTCATATGGTATTTATGGTTGTATTCTCATTTTTTTGTCTTGTTTGATAGAGTGGAAGATATATTACAGAAATAGATATGATTTTGATTGGTTTCACAACGAAAAGTACCTTGAAATTGAGCTCAAAGTAGCAGAAATGTTCGATTTTTGCCAATGTTCAATGAACTTTCTTGTGTAAGTCAAGTTGGTTAACTTCATTAACTGTAATCTAACCTAACCACTCTGTAATCTGTCAAACTAAGTAATCTGGCACACTACAGGTCCCAGTAATGCCAGATTTGTGATGGCTGACCTGTACAAGCATATTTTCTTATCTCCATGAGGAAGTGAAACAGAATTTTTCCTACATAAGCCATGCATGTCGTAAGAGGTGACTAAAATGTTGTGAGCAAGGGGCTAGTAACTCCTCTCCTGTATACATTGCTAAAGTTGGAAAGAGAAACTTTCGTTTTTCTTTTTGGGCCACCCTACTTTGGTGGGATATGGGCAGTTTGTTGAAAGAAGAAGATTGAAATTTGTATAATTCAGTTCAGTGAAATAATGGCTGATAGTCTCACACATTCACATTGTAGAGCGAGCTTTTCTTTTAGTTAGAAAGTTTCTTAGATGTTGCAGTAGCATAAAATACTATATATACTGTAATGTGCTTGGAACAGAAAGTAGTTTAAAATAAACTACCATAGTACTACTTGTTAAAGGGGTAGTATTTAGAACACACTTGTTGGTCAGTGCTGCACTTGAACTCTGATACTTAAATGTACTATACAGTGGACCCCCGGTTCGCGATACTAATCCGTTCCTGAGAGCTCATCGTAAACCAAAAATATCGGAAAGCGAATCAATTTTCCCCATAAGAAATAATGGAAATCAAATTAATCAGTGCAAGACACCCAAAAGTATGAAAAAAAAAACTTTTACCACATGAAATATTAAGTTTAATGCAATAGAATAGTAATTACAAAAACAACAATAACAATAAATAACAATAAATAACAAAAGAATAATTGACACTTACCTTTAATGAAGATCTGGTGATGATTGATGGGATGGGGGGAGGGGAGAGTGTGGATGGTGTTAGCATTTAGAAGGGGAATCCCCCTCCATTAGGACTTGAGGCAGCAAGTCCTTTTCCTGGGTTACTTCCCTTCTTCTTTTAACCCTTTGAGGGTCGACAGGCCCTCTCCGAAACTCGTTCTCAGGGTCGGCCAAATTTAAAAAAAAAAAAAATTATTTTCTCTTATGAAAAGATAGAGAATCTTTTCCCGATCATAACGACACCAAAAGTTTGAAATTTGATAGAAAACTTACGGAATTATGCTCTCGCAAAGTTTAGCGGTCTCGGCGATGTTTACGGATCGGCGATTTTTGCCACTTTGAGCCCCATTTTCGGCCAATTTCACTGTACTAGTCGACAAAAAACATGAATATTTCGCTAGAACTCCATTTTTTCTATCGAATGGGTGCAAGAAACCACCCATTTATAAATTCAACTATCCAGTACAAGTGGTCAGAATTTAGCAATTTTGCCAATTTCACACAAATTTCAAAAGATGCCAATTTCGGAATAGGGTCCAGAATAAACAAGAAAGACATTCTGGCACTAAAATGACATTTCCTCTAGTCATTAGTCACGTCTCAAGGCCCCTCTTATATTCTTTTGCTTTCCACTTTGAATTTTTATTCTCACAAAAAAATATAAGATTTACTGTTATGCAGACTACTGCATTAGTGTAAAAAATGGTATAAATATATTGGTTGCACTTGTGAAAGAATATTAGACTCACCAGTTGACGTGTATTGCACGCTTGGCACGATTTGTTTACTTTTGAATTTTGGTAAAAATCGAACATTTCTGCTACTTTGAGCTCAATTTCAAGGCATCTTTCATTATAAACCAGTCAAAATCATCTCAATTTCAGTAATATGTCTTCCATTCTATAAAATGAGACCAAGAAAACTAGATACAACAATAAATACTATACGAAAATACACTGCAAAGTCGCTGATTTATTAAAAAAAAATGGAAAAAGTTTTTTTTTTCTCATTATGCACCGTGTGCTGCAGGATTTTTTTTAGACTGTGCACACTGACCACATAGACCCATTCTTTCATATGAAGGCCTACCAGCTTTCTCCCACTAGATTTGAGGTCGCTAGAATTTATGAGTACTAGTACGTCAAAAACCCCTACGCGTAAGACGTACTAGTACGACGAAAACCCTCAAAGGGTTAATGCCACTAGGACCAGCTTGAGAGTCACTGTACTTCTGTCGCACAACATAACTGGCAGCCTCACCATGCCTAATTACACTGTGTATACCACTACGATTCTTAAATCTTTCAAACCAACCTTTGCTGGCCTTAAATTCACTCACATCACCACTAGTTGCAGGCAATATTTTTACCAAATCGTCATGCAACTGCCTAGCCTTTTCACAAATGATTGCTTGAGAGATGCTATCTGTTTTTCATTTATCCACACCAATAACAGTCTCTCAAAATTTTCTAAGACTTACGGTCACTTTCGTAATCACAGTTGCACCTTTTGCAAGAACAGCTTCCTTGATTGCCGTTTTCTTGCTCACTATAGTAGAGATGGTTGATTGGGGTTTACTATACAACCTGACCAGCTCTGACACACGCACTCCACTTTCGTACTTTGCAATTATCTCTTTCTTCATTTCAACAGTCATTAGCACCCTTGGTCTCGAAGGGTTGGCACTGGGAGCTTTCTTGGGGCCCATGGTGACTTATTTTGCAAAAACAGGCACCAAAAACAGTGATAATATGGATAATATGGAATGTACCGAATGTATCCTTAGATGCGCGCACACTGGCTGGCTTGTAAACACTGGCACACACGGGGCAGTTCAGGCCACACATGGACACGTCTCGTACGAACCACATCACATACCGGGTTTTGTATCGGGAAGCGAGGCAAATTTTCTGCGATATAATGCATCGGTTACCGGATTTATCGGATACCGCTAGCATCGCGAACCGGGGGTCCACTGTATACTGTATTCAAGTATATTTTTACACAAAGCCTTATGATTGTGTTCCATCAGCATTTTCTTGTTTCTTACTCATTTTATCTTAGTGTATATTACTGTGCTCCCTTACATGATATTTCTCAAGATGATTTTTACTGGACACGCTATTAACCCTTTGAGGGTCTGCGCCGTAGTTCTACGGTTTTGAAGTCAGGGTCCAAGCCGTAGTTTTATGCCATGAGCTCAGCTCGCTCAGATAGTTACGCTGTGAGCAGTAAATTTGGGCCTAGATATGAGAGAAAACACCTATGTGCTATGTGTGCACCACATAAAACAAAACTGCAGCATGCAGTGCACAATGAGAAAAAAACTGCGACTATTTTTGGATTAAAACACCGATTTTGTGGTATGAATAAAAATTCATTATGTGAATAAAAAATCATAATGGAGTTCATTTGTAAAGCCTGGAAATGTAACTAATAAAGATAGGAAGTGTTATTTTAGTGCCAGGAATGCCTGCATTGTTTATTCTGGACCTTATTTTGAAATTGGAATATTTTGAACCTTAACCCTTTGAGGGTCCGTCCCGTAGATCTACGGCTTTACGTTCAGGGTCCAAACCGTAGATCTACGTCATGAGCTCAGCTCACTCTGATAAACTGTGAGTGGTACATTTGGGCCTAGATATGAGAGAATACATCTATGTGGTATGTGTGCACCACATAAAACAGATCCTGCAGCATGCTGTGTATAATGAGAGAAAAAAACTGAAATCATGATTTTTTTATTAAAACAGCGACTTTGCAGTGTTTTTTCGTATGTTTTTTATAGTTCTATTTGCGATTTCTTGGTCTCATTTGATAGAATGGAAGACATATTACAGAAATAGAGATGATTTTGATTGGTTTTCGCACTGGAAATGGCTTGAAACTGAGCTCAAAGTAGCAGAAATGTTAAATTTTTGCCGATATTCAAGAGTAAGCAAACGACCTCACACGTCTAATACACGCCAGCTGGTGGGTCTAATATGCATTCACAAATATGTTGATGATATTTATACAATTATTACAGTATTGCATAACAGTAAATCTATTTTTTGGTGTGAATAAAAGTTCATTATGTGAATAAAAAATCAAAATGGAATTTATTTGTAAAGCCTCAAAATGTAACTAATGAACAGAGGAAATGTTAGTTTAGTTCCAGGAATACCTACATTGTTTATTCTGGACCCTATTTTGAAATTGGAATATTTTGAACTTTGTGTTAAATTGGCCAAATTAACAATTTCCGATCACTTTAATTTGTAGTTGAAACAGTTGACTTGGCGATTTCTTGTGCTCAATCGATAGAATAGAAGTAATACTGTGTACGAATGGTATATAATACCGACAAGATGAGATTAAGACACATGTGCAACCTCTGGGTATCTTTATTGTAGACGTTTTGCCATCCAGTGGCTTTATCAATACAAATTCTAGGACATAACTTGAAGACAGTAGAACTATGTACAGAAGATGAGGTAATCAGTCCCTCAACCTAGGAGTAGGTGCGAAGAGTACCATAGTCTGAAAGACTATTTTAATTTAAATGTGCTGCCTCAGTTACTGTATTTTAAAGTTAATTGGTAAAAAATTGGTAAAAGTGCATTTTTTAATTATTTTTATTTATGGAAAATTATTTAAATTTTTAGACATTACACTTCAGATATTCAGTATCCCTCAAAAATGTGTATTTATATTTTGTTTTGATTTGCTGTTCTCATTTTTCCTTGTTGCATTATGTAAGTATACAGTTGCAGTAACACACTTCATATACACATATTGCAACTGATAATTTTCAAATGTTATTGTAACTTAATTTTCAAGTACAGTGGACCCCCGCTTAACGATCACCTCCAAATGCGACCAATTATGTAAGTGTATTTATGTAAGTGCGTTTGTACGTGTATGTTTGGGGGTCTGAAATGGACTAATCTACTTCACAATATTCCTTATGGGAAAAAATTCGGTCAGTACTGGCACCTGAACATACTACTGGAATGAAAAAAGTTCGTTAACCGGGGGTCCACTGTATTTATTGGTATTCTGATCACTAGTCAAAAGCAAAACCCATTAGTCAGACCCTTCAGAAATACTTTTTTTTTTTTTTTTTTTCTTACCCTGCTTGTCTGTGTTTCCAAATTACCCCTCCACTTTGGAAACTCCAGATGACATTTCTCTCCATCCTGAGCCATTATTGTTGTGTCAGGTTTTCATTGTGGGTTATATGTGAAGTGATCCAGCCACAGTATTGTGACTTTTATTCTTCTTTTCTGTATTTACTTTCCAATGTGTTCCTTTCAGTTGTCACCCAACTTTAACACATTACTCAAATTCATGCTAATTTAAAGGATGTATCACACATGCTGCTAGGCCCAGGTGTAGATGTGCCAGCACCTGATATGGGCACTGGTGAGCGGGAGATGTCTTGGATTGCTGATACTTACGCCAGGACTGTTGGTAAGATTGATCCCCCCTCTCACACTAACTTTTTGCACTCTCTGCTTGGACACAATCCTTTGGTTCTTCTCACTACTAAGAAAGGTTAGGGGAAGAGATGAAAAGCAAAAGGAAAACCAATGTTTACAGACACAGACTACCCAAGATGCTTGTGTGGTGGAGACTTCCTTTAGGTGACATTGGTACAGTAACTTGGTAAACAGTTTAAAGTGTTGTTGTCATGTATCTGCAGGCACATTTTCCCATCAAACAGTATGGAAAAATATAATGTAGAACACGCACAATGGACTTAAGGTTGTTGATCATGTTACGAATGTAGGATCTCCCATATGAAGGAGTGCCTAATGAACTCAACAGGTCCAGGTGTGGATGTACCAGCCCCCGACATGGGTACTGGTGAACGAGAGATGTCATGGATTGCCGACACCTATGCCAACACTATTGGTATGTTAAAATTTTATGACTGGTCTCTGTCCTGTCCTATAATATATAGTACGTACTTCAATTAAGGTGCATATCTATGAAAGATTTATTAATTTTGACTAAGATATAGTCAGTTTTTACAACCAACTTGGCATTGTGTATTGTTACGCTTGCAACTAAATATGGACAATATTTTTCACTTTTGAGGCTAACATAGGACTTTGGAGCCCCAATATTACAAGAGCATTACAAAGTCAAACCGAGAATAAGATATAAGAGAGAAAATGCGATTAGTAAATTGGTTATAATGTACTGGATCTTTACTACCACTTGCACCATTCCTACAATTGTGATTGAACATGTGCACAAGTTTGGGTAATTGCTGAATGCATGAATCTATGCTTCCACATTTGGCTTGATGGACAATTGGTTTGGTTTAAAACCCTATTGACTGCACGATGGTCGTTAAGATTGTATTTCACCCATATACCACCAGTCACAAATACATTAATCCCCAAAACTGGGATTAAGGCAAACTCTCACTGTATACATACTCAGAGTTTACACTTCTCTGTGCATATACATTGTTGATCTCAGCTTTATGAATGAGCAATGTTTTGAACATAAAAAAAAATTTAAAATATAAATAAATTCCATGTTCTTTTTTTAATTTTAATTCTTAACTAGATGATCACTTCCCCTAGCCTATGTTATGTACGATGTATTGATTTGGTTTAGTAGAAAATCTTAGTGCTTCAATTACTAGTAAGCCTGTATGATATAGTGCATGTTGTTGAATAGTAGGTACTGCCTACTGGTATAGTAGAAAAAAAATGGAGCAGAAAAAGCCTTAATTATACAGATTTATCAAGCCATGACTTGATAAAGCTCTATCTAGGGCAAAATGTAGTCTAATACAGGTGTGATCTGCACTTAGTCTTTCTACCATGGTGCTTGGTGTTAAAGTTAATTTGGAAATCTTTGTATTCCTTTAACTCGTAACATACATATGCAAGTGCTAAACATGCATATGTATGCAGAGTATATGAATGTAGGAGAAATCAAAGAAATAATTCTTAGTTTATAGAATAGCTGCTTATCTATCTAGGGTCCTTTGAAAAGTATACTACATGCCTAGGGCCTCTTGTATTGATTGGTCACTTGAAAAGTATGCTACATACTGGGTGCCACTAATCTGTCTATGCTACCTGAAAAGTTTTCTGCATGTTTGGTGCCATTTGTCTCTCTAGGCTACTTGAAAAGAGTACTGCATGCTTAGTTTGGCCCTCTACATTATTTTTCAGTAACTCCTGTTCTGATAATTTTGATAGCTAATTTAATGCAAATTCTTGCTGTAGTGATTATTTGATTGAATCTTGAATTTAAATTTGCGTACCTGTAAATTGACAACACTTGTACTTTATATAAACAATATTTAGGGTAGCTTAATGTCCTATGTTCTGCATAATTTATTTTTCTATATAAAAATATTTACAAATGTCGATGCATGCTGGATAGGCATTTCACATTATGCCTCAAATTACTGGGTAAAATTTGATACACTATAATTATTTCATTTTTAAATTGAAAGGCCTTTTTTGTGTATTGATTAATAGATTACCAAAAATTTTAAAAACGTTTTCTGAATTCTTGGGTTGGTTGGTATTGTAAGAAAAATCTTTAATTGTGAAAGAATACCCTTCTTTTTCCCTTAGTCTTTTCCTAAGTAGCAAAGCATTATTATTAATCTTTCTAGATGCTACTAATTGAAACAGTTGAAATTTTACAAGTTCGGTTTGTTGACATGAAGAACTTCGGTGTTGTTTACATAAGCTTAGCTGAGTGTATGCTTTGTTACAGGGCATGATGACATTAACGCTCATGCATGTGTCACTGGAAAACCTATCAACCAAGGTGGAATTCACGGTCGTACATCTGCTACTGGACGTGGCGTCTTCCATGGTATTGAAAACTTCATTAATGAGGCCTCATACATGTCTATGATTGGCATTACTCCTGGATGGGGAGGAAAAACTTTTATTGTGCAGGTTAGTAGTTTTTTTTATAACTGTGGCCATCTCCTGCTGAGGCATGGTTGGCCTGAAAAAGAAAAAACACTTTTATAAGGTTTTTCTTGAGGTGAACAGTAAAATTAATGATTGGGAAAAAAGTGGGTCATGTATTGAGGCATCTATGGAAACAAAAAACTTGCCCATGGAGGCAGAGAGGGTATGTACCAGAGTATAGTGGTGCGAGGCATGGATTTTCAATGGTGCATTGAGGAGGTAACTGCAGGCCACCCTCTTCTTCAGATTTATACACCCTCCACTTCATCCTATTTTGCTCCATCCTCTCTGAATGTCCAAATCCTCTCAATAACCTTTCCTAAGCCCTCTGCATAAGGGCACCTTCTAAATTCCAAGCTACAAATTCTCTGCATAATATTCACACCACACATTATCCTACACTGCCTCGAGCCTCTTTTCTGCAATGTTCAAAACCCATGATTCAAATCCATGTAAGCATGTTGGTACCATTATATTCTGATGCATTCCCCATTTTGCATTCTCATTTTGACATTGTCTGTGAATGTAGGAGTTTATTTCTGTAATCAGGATATTTATGTATACCAGGAAATGTATGGGCTTTAACAAAGATTCTCTGGAACTCAACTACTTACATTCTGTTTTTATTTTTAATCTCTTAAAGTGACTGTTTTCTGTTTTATGTATTCCCTTAACTATGTTAATATCATCAATTGTATACCAGCTTACTTTTCAAATTTTCTAAGTATTGTTATATGGTGACATGTCACTATATCAAAAGCCTTAGAATCTAGGACTGTGCAGTCCACCCCCTTTCTTGCCTTATCTGTTATTCCATCATATGCCTTTTAAGAGACTAGTATAGTATGACCTTCCATTTCTAAATATTTGCTGATATTCTGTGAGGAATCTTATTTTCTAGATCTTTTCCAGCAATTTGAATGTTTTTGTTTGGGACACTGGTCTGTAGTTCAGGATTTCTTGAATGTGACCTTCCTGCATATTGGTATAGTATTTGCTATTTGCAATTGTCTTCCACTTCACTCACCATTAATAACTGAGTGATGTACAAAATATTTTAGCTCCTCTTAATATTTGTATGATACTCCATCTTAATTTTGAATTGCTATGCATTAATTTTGGGAAGTAACATACAAATTTTTTTATACTATACTATTTACTATTCTTGGCAAAATATACTGTACATCAGTTATATTATAGGGCTTTGGCAATGTTGGTCTACATTCGATGAGATACCTGCATCGTGCTGGGGCTACTTGCATTGGTGTTAAAGAAGTTGATGGTGAGATCTACAATGCAAATGGTATTGACCCTAAGGTGAGGTGCTAATAGTTTGTAATGAATTGAAACTTGTGACCATGTATTTTTGGAAAAGATGCACTGCATTAGCTTATAAAAGTTTTTAGTTCTTAATTTACTGCATTTTTGTTTAACCATTTAAAAAAAAAGTGTGCAAATTTGGATTTAAATTCAGTATATATTAATTAGTAAAATTTGATTTTCAGGAGCTTGAAAACTGGAAGATTGAAAATGGAACTGTTATGGGCTTTCCTGGGGCACAGAAATATGAGGGTGAGAATCTCCTTTATGAGAAATGTGATATCCTGATCCCTGCTGCCATAGAGAAGGTCATTCACAAAGGAAATGCTCACAAAATTCAGGCAAAGGTATTCATGCATTTTTCTCAAATTTTATTTAAATGTAATTTCAGCATTGGCAAATTATATTATGTTTGAGGAGATGCTAAATCTATAGGGGTCAGACTGCTCTTGGAAAACAGGAGGTACAAGGGAGGTAATCAGGCTTGATCCAAGGGAGGTAATCAGGCTTGATCCAAGGGAGGGAAGAATAACTAGATCCTTGGATTAAAAACCCTTCATCAGCATCAAGGCACCTCCCCTTTCTGAGGGGCTAATAGATGTAGTCTATTTAAAGGAACACCTGAGACAAAATATGGTATATTGGTCTCTGCCTTTAATGATAATGGTTATACTAATAATGCAGTTAACATTGGTGCAGAACTGTCTACATTAGCTGTCAGGTGTACTTGCAGAGAATGAATATTGCATCTTGAGGCCTTGTAATTTTTTTTTTCAACATACTGACTGTCTCTCACTGAGGCAGGGTGACCCAAAAAAAGAAACATTTTCACCATCATTCACACATAATCACTGTCTTTGCAGAGGTGCCCAGATAGACAGTTTAGATATCACTCAAGGCAGGCAATATCTCAAACTCCTCCTTTAAAGTACTTCCCACCTCCAGGTGGGAAGTGCAATATTTTGTGAAGGACTCAAGTCCTTCACAAAATATTACCCTGCTTTCACACCAAGAGCTCGTCAGGTCCCAAAAATCATTTATCTCCATTCACTCCTATCTAACATGCTCACACATGCCTGCTGCATGTCCAGGCCCCTCAGCCACAAAACCTCCTTTACCTCCTCCCTTCAATCTTTCCTAGGACAACCCTTACTCCATCTTCCTTCCACTACAGATTTATACGCTCTCCAAGTCATTCTACTTTGTTCCATCCTCTCTAAATGACCAAACTACCTCAACAACCCCTCTTCAGCCCTCTGACTACTTTTTTTTTTTTTCAACATGTCGGCCATCTCCCACCGAGGCAGGGTGACCCAAAAAGAAAAAAATCCCCAAAAAAGAAAATATTTTCGTCATCATTCAACACTTACCTCACTCACACATAATCACTGTTTTTGTAGAGGTGCTCAGAATACAACAGTTTAGAAGCATATACGTATAAAGATACACAAGACATCCCTCCAAACTGCTAATATCCCAAACCCCTCCTTTAAAGTGCAGGCATTGTACTTCCCATTTCCAGGACTCAAGTCCGGCTGTATAAAAATAATGGGTTTCCCTGAATCCCTTCACTAAATATTACCCTACTCACACTCCAACAGCTTGTCAGGTCCCAAATACCATTCGTCTCCATTCACTCCTATCTAACATGCTCATGCACGCTTGCTGGAAGTCCAAGCCTCTCGCCCACAAAACCTCCTTTACCCCCTCCCTCCAACCTTTTTGAGGACAACCCCTACCCTGCCTTCCTTCCCCTACAGATTTATATGCTCTTCATGCCATTCTACTTTGATCCATTCCCTCTAAATGACCAAACCAACTCAACAACCCCTCTTCTGCCCTCTGACTAATACTTTTATTAACTCCACACCTTCTCCTAATTTCCACACTCCGAATTTTCTGCATAATATTCACACCACACATTACCCTTAGACAGGACATCTCCACTGCCTCCAACCGCCTCCTTACTGCAGCATTTACAACCCAAGCTTCACACCCATATAAGAGTGTTGGTACTACTATACTTTCATACATTTCCTTCTTTGCCTCCATAGATAACGTTTTTTGTCTCCACATATACCTCAACGCACCACTCGCTTTTTTTCTTTCATCTGACTAATACTTTAAGTAATTCCACACCTCCTACTAATTTCCACACTTCGAATTCTCTACATAATATTTGCACCACACGTTGCCCTTAGACACGACATCTCCACTGCCTCCAGCCTCCTCCTTGCTACATCATTTACAACCCATGTTTCACACCCATATAAGAGTGTTGGTACCACTATACTCTTGTACATTCCCTTCTTTGCCTCAATGGATAACGTTTTTTGTCTCCACAAATACCTCAAAGCACCACTTGCCTTTTTTCCTTCATTTCTGTGGTTAACCTCATCGTTCATGAACTCATCTGCTAACAAGTCAACTCCCAAATATCTGAACACATTCACTTCTTCAATACTCCCTCCCTCCAATGTGATATCCAATATTTCTTTATCTACATCATTTGATAGCCTCATCACCTTACTCTTATCTATATTCAGTTTCAACTTTCTTCCTTTTTACAATCTCTCTCGTCTCCTTTTTCCTTATATAAAGGAATTATACACTCTCTTTGCGAATCCCTAGGTACTGTCCCCTCTTTCAAACATTTATTGAACAAAAGTACCAACCACTCCAACCCCCTTGCTTTTAGCATTTCTATCATGATCCCATCAGTTCCAGCTGCTTTACGTTTGTGTATATATAATTTTTTTTTTTTTCAACAAGTCGGCCGTCTCCCACCGAGGCAGGGTGACCCAAAAAAAAAAAGAAAGAAAATCCCCAAAAAGAAAATGCTTTCATCATCATTCAACACTTTCACCACACTCACACATAATCACTGTTTTTGCAGAGGTGCTCAGAATACAACAGCTTAGAAGCATATACGTATAAAGATACACAATATATCCCTCCAAACTGCCAATATCCCAAACCCCTCCTTTAAAGTGCAGGCATTGTACTTCCCATTTCCAGGACTCAAGTCCGACTATATGAAAATAACCGGTTTCCCTGAATCCCTTCACTAAATATTACCCTGCTCACACTCCAACAGATCATCAGGTCCCAAGTACCATTCGTCTCCATTCACTCCTATCTAACACGCTCACGCACGCTTGCTGGAAGTCCAAGCCCCTTGCCCACAAAACCTCCTTTACCCCTCTCTCCAACCCTTTCGAGGACGACCCCTACCTCGCCTTCCTTCCCCTATAGATTTATATACTTTCCATGTCATTCTACTTTGATCCATTCTCTCTAAATGGCCAAAACCACCTCAACAACCCTCTTCTGCCCTCTGACTAATACTTTTATTAACTCCACACCTTTTCCTAATTTCCACACTTCGAATTTTCTGCATAATATTTACACCACACATTGCCCTTAGACAGGACATCTCCACTGCCTCCAACCATCTCCTCGCTGCTGCATTTACCACCCAAGCTTCACACCCATATAAGAGTGTTGGTACTACTATACTTTCATACATTCCCTTCTTTGCCTCCATAGATAACGTTTTTTGACTCCACATATACCTCAATGCACCACTCACCTTTTTTCCCTCATCAATTCTATGATTAACCTCATCCTTCATAAATCCATCCGCCGAACGTCAACTCCCAAGTATCTGAAACATTCACTTCTTCCATACTCCTCCTCCCCAATTTGATATCCAATTTTTCTTTATCTAAATCATTTGATACCCTCATCACCTTACTCTTTTCTATGTTCACTTTCAACTTTCTACCTTTACACACATTCTCAAACTCATCCACTAACCTTTGCAATTTTTCTTTAGAATCTCCCATAAGCACAGTATCATCAGCAAAAAGTAACTGTGTCAATTCCCATTTTGAATTTGATTCCCCATAATTTAATCCCACCCCTCTCCCGAACACCCTAGCATTTACTTCTTTTACAACCCCATCTATAAATATATTAAACAATCATGGTGACATTACACATCCCTGTCTAAGACCTACTTTTACCGGGAAGTAGTCTCCCTCTCTTCTACACACCCTAACCTGAGCCTCACTATCCTCATAAAAGCTCTTTACAGCATTTAGTAACTTACCACCTATTCCATATACTTGCAACATCTGCCACATTGCTGCCCTATCCACTGTATCATATGCCTTTTCTAAATCCATAAATGCAATAAAAACTTCCCTACCTTTATCTAAATACTGTTCATATATATGCTTCAATGTAAACACTTTATCTACACATCCCCTACCCACTCTGAAACCTCCTTGCTCATCCGCAATCCTACATTCTGTCTTACCTCTAATTCTTTCAATTATAACCCTACCGTACACTTTTCCTGGTATACTCAATAAACTTATTCCTCTATAATTTTTACAATCTCTTTTGTCCCCTTTCCCTTTATATAAAGGGACTATACATGCTCTCCGCCAATCCCTAAGTACCTTCCCCTCTTTCATACATTTATTAAACAAAAGTACCAACCACTCCAACACTATATCCCCCCCACAAAACCTTTGTTACCCTTATAGTAATTAAGCACATTAAATTAGAATACACTCATAAACATTTTATGATCTTGGTTAGGTTATTTAATCAACACAGTTATCTGGCACTGTTAAGAAACTTTGTGCTGCAACTTGAGGATAGGGAAGCAATGTGGCAAATGTTGCAGGTGTATGGAATAGGTGGTAGGTTACTGAAAGAAGTTAAGAATTTTTATGAGGATAGTGAGGCTTAAGTTAGGGTATGAAGGTGAGAGGGAGATCATTTTCCAGTAAAATTAGGCCTTAGACGGTTTGTGTGATGTCACCATGGTTGTTTAGCATGTTTATAGACGAGGTTCTAATAGAAGCGAATGTTAGGGTGTTGGGGAGAGGGGTGGGACTAAAATATGCAGATTATAATACAAAATGGGAGTTGTCACAGTAGCTGTTTGCCAGTCATACTGCTTTTTAGATTCTGTAGAGATGTTGCAAAGGTTGGTGGATGAATTTGGGAGGGTATGTAGCTTTTCTTGTTAGTTTGTATTTTGTTCTTAATTGTGTTTTTCATGTAATTTTTATTGCTCATGAGTACTGAATAACTTACACGGTCTAAGTACTCCATAAATATCACATTTACAACCTTTTTCCCATGAAAGTACTTGCCTGGCTAAGAACCCAATACTTCTTTAAATGTAAATGGTGGTAATATTTTCCCTTTAAATGTAAATGGTAGGTTACTGAAAGAAGTGAAGAGTTTTTACGAGGATAGTGAGGCTCAAGTTAGAGTATGTAGGAAAGAGGGAAATTATTTCCCAGTAAAAGTAGGCCTTAGACAAGGATGTGTGATGTCACCATGGTTGTTTAATATATTTATAGATGGGGTTGTAAGAGAAGTAAATGCGAGGGTCTTGGCAAAAGGCGTGGAGTTAAAAGATAAAGAATCACACATAAAGTGGGAGTTGTCACAGTTGCTCTTTGCTGATGACACTGTGCTCTTGGGAGATTCTGAAAAGAAGTTGCAAAGATTGGTGGATGAATTTGGTAGGGTGTGCAAAAGAAGAAAATTAAAAGTGAATACAGGAAAGAGTAAGGTTATGAGGATAACAAAAAGATTAGGTGATGAAAGATTGGATATCAGATTGGAGGGAGAGAGTATGGAGGAGGTGAATGTATTCAGATATTTGGGAGTGGACGTGTCAGCGGATGGGTCTATGAAAGATGAGGTGAATCATAGAATTGATGAGGGGAAAAGGGTGAGTGGTGCACTTAGGAGTCTATGGAGACAAAGAACTTTGTCCTTGGAGGCAAAGAGGGGAATGTATGAGAGTATAGTTTTACCAATGCTCTTATATGGGTGTGAAGCGTGGGTGATGAATGTTGCAGCGAGGAGAAGGCTGGAGGCAGTGGAGATGTCATGTCTGAGGGCAATGTGTGGTGTGAATATAATGCAGAGAATTCGTAGTTTGGAAGTTAGGAGGTGAGGGCTGAGGAAGGGCTGTTGAGGTGGTTCGGACATGTAGAGAGAATGGAGCGAAACAGAGTGACTTCAAGAGTGTATCAGTCTGTAGTGGAAGGAAGGCGGGGTAGGGGTCGGCCTAGGAAAGGTTGGAGGGAGGGGGTAAAGGAGGTTTTGTGTGCGAGGGGCTTGGACTTCCAGCAGGCATGCGTGAGCGTGATTGATAGGAGTGAATGGAGACAAATGGTTTTTAATACTTGACGTGCTGTTGGAGTGTGAGCAAAGTAACATTTATGAAGGGGTTCAGGGAAACCGGCAGGCCGGACTTGAGTCCTGGAGATGGGAAGTACAGTGCCTGCACTCTGAAGGAGGGGTGTTAATGTTGCAGTTTAAAAACTGTAGTGTAAAGCACCCTTCTGGCAAGACAGTGATGGAGTGAATGATGGTGAAAGTTTTTCTTTTTCGGGCCACCCTGCCTTGGTGGGAATCGGCCAGTGTGATAATAAAAAAATAATATTTAAATTTGCTGACACTCACCATAATGTAGCCTGATTATTTTTACAGATTATTGCTGAGGCAGCAAATGGTCCAACAACACCTGCTGCTGATAAAATTCTTCAAGACATGAACGTTCTCATCATACCTGACTTGTATATTAATGCTGGAGGTGTAACAGTTTCATATTTTGAGTGGTTAAAGAATCTCAACCATGTGTCTTATGGTCGCCTAACTTTCAAATATGAGAGAGAATCCAACTATCATTTGTTGGGTAAGTGATGAAGGTATATTAACAAATTTTTTTTAATGAGAATGTTAGCAAAGTACATACATGCATCACTTGTGATAATAATATGCTGTAACTATCTGTCTGAAAAATATATTATTAATAGTTCTGTATTTAAAGCCCTTTAGATTCTTTCATAAATTTAGGTTTAAAAAATAATTTTCTTTCAGCAGATATTTAGGTCTTAATCTATTAATCCCATGTGGGTTTGTGCATAGTTCTACGGCTTTGAAGCGAAGGTCCATGCCGTAGTTCTGTGAGTTTGAAGCGAGGGTGCATGCTGTATTTCTTTGACTTTGAAGCGAGGGTCCGTGCCATAATTCTACAGCTTTGAAGCCAGGGTCAGTGCCGTAGTACTGCGTCATGAGCTCAGCTCACTTAGATAAACTGTTGGGCCTAGACATGAGAAAATGGGTCTGTGGTAAGTGTGCACCACATAAAAAAAATCCTGCAGCACACAGTGTATAATGAGAAAAAAAAAACTGTTTTTGAATGAAAACAGTGAATTTGCTGTGCATTTTTGTATGGTTTTTATGGTTGTATTTGCAGTTTCTTAATCTCATTTGATAGAATGGAAGACATATTACAGAAATAGAGATAATTTTGATTGGTTTTAGGAAAGAAAGCAGCTTGAAATTGAGCTCAAAGTAGCGAAAGGTTTCAAATTTTGCCGATGTTCAAAAGTAAATTTACATCGTGCGTCCATTACACGTCAACTGGTGGGTCTACTGTGTATTCATTTATGCAATAATAATATTTATACATTTATTGCAATATTGCTTAACAGTAAGTCTTCTACTATTTGGTGACTAAAAATTCTTTGTGAATAAAAAATGAAAATGGAATTCATGTGTAAAGCTTGGGAACGTAATTAATGAACAAATGAAATGTTATTTTTGTGCCAGGAATGCCTGCATTTTTTATTCTGGACCCTATTTTGAAAATGGAATATTTTGAAATTAGTGTGAAATTGGCCAAATTACCACTTTCTGATCACTTTAATGGGTAGTTGAATTAGTTGATTGGGTGGTTTCTTGTGCTGAATTAATAAAGTAGAAGGCATAATAGTGAAATAGCTAAGACTTTGGTTGACTGGAACAAGGTAATTGGCCTAAAATATTAGTCAAAGTGGGCAAAATTGCCAATGCATAAATATCGCTGACTCAGCAAAATTTGCGCAAGCGTAATTTCGTCAATTTTTCATCAAATTTCGTACTTTTTATTTGATTGCCTACAGAAATAGATTCTCTATCATTTCAAAAGAAACAATAACAATTTTTTTTTTTAATTCTTGGACCCTGTGGACACTTATCAAACTGGGGGTCTGGACCCTCAAGGGGTTAATAATTGTTGCCTAATGAGGAAGTCATGCAGATAGTCAGTCAGAAAGCAAATGTAAAAATCTTGCTTTGAGATAGTTTGTTTCATGGCTTTGTTATCGAACTTTTACTCTAATTGTATATAGACAAAAAGCAGAAACTACAACTTTGTTATATCTTTGTTGAATATTACCAAAGTAAGGGTGAAATTTTCCTTGGTAGAAGACACTGAAAAACTATTAGGTCACAGCAAAGTCTAACACTGAAGATGTTAAACCATGGCAGTTTACAGCTTAGGTACAAGAAGAATAGAGAATTTTAGAAGTGCTGGATAAAAGATTTGATCACATCTTCTGGTAGAGCACGAACAGGTAATAAATCTTTGTAATATTAGTGTCACTTGACTTAATGTCTGAAGACCATAAGAAAGACAATATAGGCAAGGACAGAAAAATTAATGGCCTTTTTATAGATTCCATGTTATTTTTGGCAGTCTTCAAAGCACTTTTGCTTAGATACACCTCTAAGCTCTTGTCTTTTTGCAAAGCTGGCCAGATATCAGAGCTTGGAAATAGAAAATTTGATATTTGTATAGAATCAGTAAACCATCTTGATGACTGAGACTGCCACAAAGTCTTCTGCACACTATTTACTGCAACCTTTGGAATATAGATTGGAAGTGCAGTATCTCGGTAACCTTACATGGTAGAAAATACTCGAAGGAAATGTCTGTATACAATTCAGTACTGGAGTAAAATAAATAGGAAGCAAAAAGGAAGCACAGTGAAAGGCAAAAGTAGTGGTGCCATAAACATTTTTAGAGAAATGCCATCATAACACCTGTTTTCTATTGTCATACACAGGTAATTATACCAGAAAAAAAAAGGCATGTTTTAAGTTACTACAGGAAGTGCCTGATTAGCCAGGTTGTTATGGCTGCTCAGCCATTCACCACAAAATTTATCTGATATATAAATCAATGTCACATCTGTAGATTGCCTTAAAATAGACCCCCTTTCAAGGGAAGGCTTTTGATGTCAGTGAAAAGCTCTTGAATCCTGAGTACCTCTCATTTATTAGGCTTGTATGACTCTCTATTAGTTTAGTGCTTCTCTATATTTATAATAGTTAAAATTCACAATGTGTATATTTTTTTAATCATGCAGAGTTATTGTTGCTTTGATGCGTGTGCCTCAGGCAGTAGTTTTAATATTGTATTTTTGGAACACATTTCCTGTTCAATTTACATGAAAATACACAAATAACCCGCACATAAAAGACAGAAGCTTACGACGACGTTTCGGTCCGACTTGGACCATTGACAAAGACACACTAACAGAGGAGGAGCAGGACGGCTATATATAGGCAGGAAGAGGTGGAGGTAGTAGTAGTGGTAGTAGTAGTAGTAGTAGTACAAGAATTGTATATAATACCGACAGGATGAAATGACACATGCACAACACCCGGGCATCCCCACCGTAGACGTTTCGCCATCCAGCCAGCCACTGGATGGCGAAACGTCCACAACAAAGACAACCAGACGCCGCACATGTGTCTAATTTCATCAGTAGATGTAGTAGAAGAAGAAGAGGTAGTAGTAGTGGTAGTGGTAGAAGTGGGAAATAAGGAAGACAAGCCAGTCAAATACAAAGGAAGGGGAGCACTGCAAGAGAGCTAGAAACCCACAGAGGGAGAGCAAGCGCACCGAGGTGCGTGAAAGGGGAAGTGGTGAAATAAAATAAAGAAGGAACAGAAACACGAGACAGGAGAGAGAAAGACAACCCAGAGGAGAAAAGGAGAGAGGAAAGGGGAAGAGGAAGAAGAAAAAGAAGAAGAAGAAGAAAAAATGAGGATTCAGGTTAAGTCACGGGTGTTCTGAAGTTTGGAGCATTTTACTTCCCCTTTCACGCACCTTGGTGCGCTTGCTCTCCCTCTGTGGGTTTCTAGCTCTCTTGCAGTGCTCCCCTTCCTTTGTATTTGACTGGCTCGTCTTCCTTATTTCCCACTTCTACCACTACCACTACTACTACCTCTTCTTCTTCTACTACATCTACTGATGAAATTAGACACATGTGCGGCGTCTGGTTGTCTTTGTTGTGGACGTTTCGCCATCCAGTGGCTGGCTGGATGGCGAAACGTCTACGGTGGGGATGCCCTGTCGGTATTATATACAATTCTTGTACTACTACTACTACTACTACTACTACTACCACTACTACTACCTCCACCTCTTCCTGCCTATATATAGCCGTCCTGCTCCTCCTCTGTTAGTGTGACTTTGTCAATGGTCCAAGTCGGACCGAAACGTCGTCGTAAGCTTCTGTCTTTTATGTGCGGGTTATTTGTGTATCGTTCCAGTCACGGTATTGTGCCTTTTTGTTATTTATACATGAAAATCTTTTCTGCCTTGTAATGATGTGAGTATATTTTACGATTCAAGTGAGGCTTTCTGGTTACTTTAAGGACTAAGGTTTTAAATATTTTAAGTTTTTATACACATGATGCCTTAAATTTTAATTTAGAAGTTTGAATACTGTATTTTACCTGTTTTATAAGATATTACCTTGCACCTGGATTCTGATTTTCTTTCTTATGTGAGCTTTAGCATTCTTTGCTACTGTATCATCATGTGTTTTTTATTCAATAGTTAACATATTTGCTGATTTGTGTGTTTTTAATTCTCATAGCCAATGGTTTACTAAAATGGTGTAGCTTAACCAAAGAAGTATATGAAACTAAATTATTAGCTATGGTTTTACTTTTCATTATATGCTTTCAGGTGAGCTTTGATGTGCAGTGGTGAACTAAATCACTTTTTTTGCAGACTCTGTGTCCCATTCCCTGTCCAAACACTTTCAACAAGAATTTTCTGTGAATCCTAGTGAAAAGTTTGCCCAACGCATCGCTGTGAGTCACACTATACCTTACACTAATCTGCTATGATTATCTTTTTTTTTTTTTTTTTTTTTTAAGTTTTTAGTTATGTATACAATTCTGCTAGCCCTTTGTCCACATGTGCTTTCAGTTTCAGCTTTATCCTGCACCCACAGGCCTTAAGGGTTGTCTGTACCTGCATCAGTCATACTCTTGTCATTAACTGAATCTACTCCATGCACAAGAGTTATATATTTTAACACCTCGATGCTTTGTGTACCATATGGTAAAAAGGGCTTATAGGACTTTATCGAAAAACAAACAGAATGGATACGTGAGTAATCCCTCTTTTGGAAATGGACACCGTTGGAATCAAAACAGATACATGTTTTTTCAGAAACTTTTCCATATTAACCAAATCCACATTCTACACTTGCCCCAGCACCTTCCCTTGTATAATTGTTTATTAAATCCATATTACGAGCAAGAATATCCCTCCTACAGAATCTGTTCAGGAGTCTCTAGAGCGGCGATTTGGTCGTGTTGGTGGCAAGATTCCCATCGTACCATCCGAGTCTTTCCAGGAACGCATTTCTGTACGTAATAAAGCTGTAAAATACACTATTGCTAAAGCTGAAGTTTATTTGGATCTAACTAACAGGTTGAATAAATGTAACAGTTGCAGTGTAAGATGTAATATAGTGATTTGAACGTAGGAAAATGAATGGGAAGAGCCGTTGTGAAGGTATTGGTTACTCTGTTTTTAATTATTCTTACCCTTTTTTATTTTGTCTCGTATTTTGCATTAAAACAGTATCTGCTTCAATTACGAATAACAGATTCAATGCGCAGTCTTTCGTTGCTTTTTTGGCATTTGATAACTGAAGGTTCAGAGGTGATTCACTTCTGAAATGGCTGAAGACTCTGCATGCATTGCCCTACTGCAGGTGTGGGAAATGCTTACCCAATAAGGGAAGGTAGAAATGTAGTGTCTTTGTGTGCATGTGCATGTGTGATAGGGTATGTAGTATCATTGTTCTTTACACTCAGGAGTGTCAGAATTAAATGCAGCATTTTAGCTATTCTTACCAGTGTAGGATGACCCCAAAGAAGAAAACACTTTCACAATTCTTTGATCTTTAGCTGAGCTGCAACATTCTCACTGACACAAAGTGCAGTCATTGTACTTCCTACTTCCATTATTTTTTATCTAACCCGTTTCTTTGAATTCAGGTAGGTAATACCACATTCACACTTCCACAGCAAGTTAAATCCTCCAAGATAACTCTCCATTTCCATCTAACATGCTCCCATTTGTTTGCAAAATATGCAGTCCCTTTCCCCTCAGTATTGTTTCGTTCTTTCCGTCATCAGAAATTGAGATGAGTTTTTTTTTCTCCAATAACTACATTCATTGTTAGACTGAATACTGTAAAAATTAGCAGATACACACTGATATTGATGCTTTAGCACACCCCTTATAAGAAGTTTACCTCACACATTCCATCCAGCCCATAGAGCTTTATTCCTTAGTAAGTTTTAAAAAAAAAATTATAAAGTGGTATAAGATAAGCTTGAATTGCAAATTTTATTCTACAAATAACAGTTTTGAGAAATGTTTTTATCTATTTTTTTTATAGCTTTATAACCCTTACACATACAGGCATGAAACACTCAATTTATAAAATCCAGTCCTCAGTATTGCTAATTTTTTTTATATCATGCTGGCTGTCTCCCACCAAGGTAGGGTGACCCGAAAAGGAAACGCTTTCACCATCATTCACAATCACTGTCTTCCCAGAGGTATACAGATATGATAGTTTAGATGTCTCTCCAAATAGGCAATGCCCCAGACCCTTTCTTTAGAGTACAGGCACTTTACTTCCCACCTCCAGGACTCAGGTCCAGCTAACCATTTTCCCTGAATCCCTTCACAACATATTACCTTGTTCACACTCCAACAGCTCATCAGGTCCCAGAAAACCACAAAAAATCTGAAAGGGTCTTTTGAAGCTATGGTTTGACTTGATGAACTTAAGACACCAGATGCCAAGCTGTAACTCTTCCTAATTATATAAGCTAACTCAGTATATTTATAAAATTCCTAATAGTAGTAAGGGAAATAATATAATTCCAGTAATCCTTAAATTAATGCAAGGGGTTACATCCCTAAAAATCAGCGTGTGATGTAAAATAGTCCTAACTGGTGTGAAGAACATGTTGAAAAAGTAGTTGCATTCCAGACACCTCCAAATATTTTAAGGTCTTTCTTTAAATTCATCTATGTGAAAAATTATAGTTTATCTTATTTTCTGTTAGTTGTTACTTTAAGCATTTGAAGGGGATGGCTAACATGAGCTTAGTGGGTCAGGTTAGATGTAGCAAAATTTATCAACCAATACACGCTTGTTACATGTAAACATCTTAAGAATAAAAGTCACTTTTTTTTTTTTAACATGCCAGCTGTCTCCCACCGAGGTAGGGTGACCCAGAAGAAGAAACACTTTTACCAGTATTCAGTCACTGTCCTACCAGTGGTGCACTGACACTACAGTTAAGATGCCTCTCCAAACTGCAGATATCCCTACCCCCCTCCTTCGTATTGCAGGCACTGCACTTACCACAACTGGGACTCAAGTCTGGCTAACCAGTTTCCCTGAATCCCTTTGCAAAATTTTACGTTGCTCACACTTCAGTAGCTCATCAGGTCCCTAAAACCATTTGCCTCCACTCATATCTATCACACTCACACATGCCTGCTGGATGTCCAAGCCCCCTTCACACAAAACCACCTTTACCCCCTCCCTCCAGTGTTTCTTTGGACAACTTTTACCCACCTTTCCTCCACTAGATTTATACACCCTCCATGTCCTCCAATTTTGCTCCATATTCTCTGAATATCCAAATCACTTCAAGAAACCTTCCTCAGCCCTCTGAAAAACTAAAACTCCTTCAAACACATTTAATATTATAAGAAACTAGTATACTTAGTGATTTTTTTTTTTATTATTTATTATCACACCGGCCGATTCCCACCAAGGCAGGGTGGCCCGAAAAAGAAAAACTTTCACCATCATTCACTCCATCACTGTCTTGCCAGAAGGGTGCTTTACACTACAGTTTTTAAACTGCAACATTAACACCCCTCCTTCAGAGTGCAGGCACTGTACTTCCCATCTCCAGGACTCAAGTCCGGCCTGCCGGTTTCCCTGAATCCCTTCATAAATGTTACTTTGCTCACACTCCAACAGCACGTCAAGTATTAAAAACCATTTGTCTCCATTCACTCCTATCAAACACGCTCACGCATGCCTGCTGGAACTTAGTGATAAATACTAAAAATAATAGAAAACTAAAATACTCATAATTTGCCATCAATAAATTGTAAAGTGTAAATATAGCTGGCTCATTTACGCTGCTGTTGCTGGCGAGTGATCATATTTTCACCAACTTCAACATAACATAATATTGTAAGTTTATCAGATTTCACTCATTAAATTCATAATCTTGCCCCTCCCCCTCCCCTACCACACACAGCAAATTTAATTTCAGGGTATGCCACAGTTAAGAGCTTAAAGACCATAAATAATTTTTTTTTTTCAACAAGTCGGCCGTCTCCCACCGAGGCAGGGTGACCCAAAAAGAAAGAAAATCCCCAAAAAGAAAATACTTTCATCATCATTCAACACTTTTTGCCTCACTCACACATAATCACTGTTTTTGCAGAGGTGCCCAGAATACAACAGTTTAGAAGCATATGTATATACGTATAAAAATACACAATACGTATATCAATCCAAATCATATCTACCCAAATTTTTTGGTAGTTATTCTTTGATATTTTATTTATTTTTGCAAACATTTTCATAATCCTTAACACCTGTAATTTTTCCCATCATTTATTGTGACTGACATTCTTCATAGACCTGTCTGCTGATTCAATGCATCTCCTCCAAAGTATTGTACAGTTAAACTCCGAAATTCACCTATTTCATAATTCACAGGATTCCATCGTACAGTGTTTTTACTGAAAGCAGTTTTGTTGATAGCTTAGACTATTTTTTTTTCCTTGGTGCCCATTGTCTTTTGCTTGGTGCATGACTTGTAAATTTAATCCTAAACATAAGACTTAATTAATTTTTTTTTAATGGCAATATATACCAGAGCAGTATTTGTAGAAATATTACCAGAAGTCAGTTAGACAGTTTAGATATGTGAAATCTTGTCAATATTGGCTTCAGCAGTCACATCACCTCCAGGAACTTAACCCTCCTGAATTATGGGGTTAAACTGTACTTTATGACAGAGATGGTCAGGCCATGGCTCAGTGCTGCTTGTTTCCTTATTCAGTGTGCTCAGGAGACATTATCCAGGTTTACTGTTTTGGATATTGTTTCATTGAGCCAAATTGAATGAGCAAATAAACTGCATGCAGCTCATGCACCTTGGCTTAGCCACTTTAATTTCTCTATCCTCCTAGCAGTTTGACACTTTGAGCTTCCTTCTTTTATACACCCAGATTTCTTTAACCCTTTGACTGTCGGTGCCGTATATATACGTCTTACGAGCCAGTGTTTTTGACGTAATACGCCAAAATTCTAGTGGCTTCAAATCAAGCGGGAGAAAGCTGGGAGGCTCACATGTAAGAGAATGGGTCTGTGTGGTCAGTGTGCGCAGTATAAAAAAAAATCCTGCAGCACGCAGTGCATAATGAGAAAAATAAAAATTCTGATAGTGTTTTTGGATTAAAACGCTGACTTTGAGGTGTATTTTCGTATAGTATTTATGTTTGTATTCTCGTTTTCTTGGTCTCATTTGATAGAAGGAAGACTTATTACAGAAATAGAGATGATTTTGATTGGTTTCACGATGAAAAGGACCTTGAAATTGAGCTCAAAGTAGCAAAAATGTTCAATTTTTGCCAATGTTCAAGAGTAAGCAAATGACATCATCATCCAATAAGTGTCCAACTAGCCATTCTAACATGCAGTCATGAATGAGTTGACATTATTTATACAATTATTACAATAATGCAGTAGTCTGCATAACAGTAAATCTTCTATTTTTAGTGTGAATAAAATTTAAAATGGAAAGCAAGAGTAATATAAGAAGGGCCTGGAGATGTGATTAATGAAGAGAGAAAATGTTATGTTAGTGCCAGGAATGTCTGCATTGTTTATTTTGGATCCTATTTTGAAACTGGCATCTTTTTTAATTTGCGTGAAATTGGCCAAATTGCCAATTTCTGACCACTTGACTGGGTAGTTGAAATCAGTAAATGGGAACTTTCTTGTACTCAATCGATAGAACAAATGTAGTTCTAAAGAAATAGCTATGAGTTTGGCTGACTGAAAGAGTGGAATTGACCGAAAAAATGGCTTAAAGTGGGCGAAATCACTGATGTGTAAACATCGCCGAGATCGCTAACTTCGCGAGAGCATAATTCTGTAAGTTTTCCATCAAGTGTCATACTTTTGATGTCATTACCATCGGGAAAAGATTCTCTATCATCTCATAAGAAATAATTTTTTTTTTTTTTTAATATTTTGCAACACAGAGAGAGACTTCAAGATTTGGGGTCTTGACAGTCAAAGGG